TGTGGACACCAGAGGTGGTGTGAGAGGAGGGTGGGAAGGGACAGAGGGTCAGAAAGAGGGGTGGAAATAATTCTAGGAACTAGAATTGGAAAATTTTTTGTAATGTGCATGATGGAATCACTATGCAATGTGTACTGGATGGGAGATCGCATTTTGTGTGCTGTGATGATGTTTAGGGAAGGAATGTAAATTGAGTTACCAAAAAAAAAAAATAAAGTTTCAGGAAAAAAAAATATATCTATTCAATGACTGCAGTAGGATATGTAGCCCCAGCTAGGTGCTACTTTATAGCATGCGTAAAGTTAGATTTGTGTTCATGGAAATGTGTGTGTCACCTGTGCTTGCTATGAGGGTATTTGGATTGATTAGGGTCTTTGGTGATTCAATAAAATGTGGGGGGAAAATAGTATAGAAAGCAAACATAGATACCGGAGACAGTGTGGGAGGAGAATGGGAGATGGCAGAGGGTAAGAGATAGGGAATCAAGGAGGGGGGGAAAAAGGGCAAAACATACAGAAAACAAGAAATGGAAGATCATTTGCTGACAAGAACATGTTTGTTGATGTGCTTGATTGAGACAGTATACAGTGTACTCTGGATGGAAAATCTCATTTTGTATGCTGTAATGATGTACAGTGAATGAATACAAATGAATAAATTGAAATAAAAAAAATCTGAAATCCTGTAAAATCTGAAACTTTTTGAGCACCAGTGTGACACAAGCAGAAAATTCCACTCCTGACCTCACATGACAAATTAGTTAAAATGTTGCAATACAAAAATATTGTATAAATTACCCTCAGACTAGATGCATAAGGTATGTATTCACAAGTGAATTTTGGGTTTAGATTGGGTCCTATCCACAAGATAGTTCATTCTTCTCATAAAATCTGAAGAAATCTGAAATCTGAACCAATTCTGGTTCCAGGCACTTGGATAAGTGATATCACATGCATTCTTGAGAGTCTAAAGACATTTTATACTAACCAAAACAATAGTTAGAATTTCTAACTAGTTCCCAAATCAAAACTTTTTATGAGGCAAGAGGGTTGAGGGAGAATACTAGATTATCTCAGATCTTCTCCATTTCTGCCCAACTATGGTAAGAACATGAGACAATCACCAGTACTACTGAAGACTAATGAAAAATGCTAATTTCCAAAAGGACTCTTGAAAATATTACAAAAAAGGAAAAAAACCGTGTAAGATACTAGGAGATCTAAGACCAATCACTTCATCATAAAATGTTTGTTCTATTAGTAACATTTTTTAGAGGACTAGATTTTCAAGGGGTAAATTCAAGATATGTGCCCCACTTGGGAATTTCTAAAATCACTTTCAGCAATTTCAGGAAAAAAAGAACTGAGAATCCCTAAGATATAAATTTCCTAATTCAAGCTAAAAAGTTCATTAATATATCTTGTATGATTGATTTTACAAGTTACTCATTTCTATTCTATTAGCTGCATTTACTAAATGGAATAAATCAGAAAGTATTTTTCAGTAGGTTCCAATTTTGCTTATAAAAATCTTACTTTCTCTGGTCCATGGGATCAGAAGTCAGTGTAATAGCTATGTTGCTGGACTCCCAAGTAAGTTGACTGCAGTTTAAATCCCAGATCCAGTAGTTTAAACTCACACTGGGCACATGTACATGCGTGCCCAAAATCCTGAGAGGAGAATGGAGGAGAAGGGATTATGGCATGGCCATCCCCCCCCCCCCCCCGGGGGGATCTCTTTCTGTCTCTCTGTCTGTCTTTCTAGGGAGTGTAAATTCCCTATAGCAAAAACCTCTCCAAAAAAGAAAAAGAAAAAACATACTCCATATTTATACTTCAATATAATCTCTCCTTTACTGAAATGAGGTATGCCTAGATAAATAATCATTTTCACTTATCATCTGTACAGGATAAAATAACATTCAATTTGCATAACGTTTATATAAGGTTCACAACTTTAAAAATGTTCACATATACATAAAACTTACATTTTTTGACATTCTTTTCGTTCTCCCAACATGGGATCCCCCATTTCTCCAAGAATAGTAGCTTCCACTTCATATTGAACAATGAGTGCTTTTTCTGATGGATGTACATCAATATTCCCTCCTTTAACTTTCCTACGTAAAAAATAAACAAGGGCATAACAAGGTTAAAAGTGTGCAAAATGCCCATGGTTTTTATCTGATTTCTAGTTCTGAAACATATGGGCTGGATTAACATATGCATTAGAATCAGATTTACTTTTGACTTGAGAGAAGAAATAACTTTTTTTTTTCCAAATCTATACTATATATATGATTCTTGGTGTTACAGAAAGTACCTTTATGACTAGCTCTATGGGGGGGAGGGGGAGGGATACTTTTACTCAAAGAGTCAGGCTAAAAGAAAATGAATGAAACATAAATCATTTAGATGGCTTTGGACAGAATGACCTCAACTAAAAGCCAGTTCAATTCTTCATTTAAATTCATACTCTGAAATTTATATTAAAAATAAAATCAACCTGCTCAATAATTACCCCCATTAACTGCATCACAGAATAACATTAAAAATTATATAAATTATAATATAATACATAATATATGTCATCTAACTTAATTATACAAAATGTGACATTAGTACCTAAGCAAAATCACTCCTCAATCACACACAAATTACACATCAAAAAAGCACAAATAGGTTATATATGTTGTATAGTCACGTATCTCAAATTACAGTGTCAATAGTAGTTTACCCTGAAAGGTTGTATATACTCTTCCCCCAATCCCCTAGCATTATTAAATAAATTCTTAATTGCAGTAAACCCATACTACCTAGTTAGGCCTAGTGATGGTTGTCTCCATATCAAACATGTCAGAATTTTTTCTTGACATTATTCCATACACAATACGGTACAGCAACTATTTACAAAGCATTTACACTGCATTAGTTATTATAGGTAACCTAGAAGTAATTTAAAGTATATAGGCTATGCATAGGTTACATGTAAACATTAACTCATTTTATATAACAGACTTGAGCATCCTGATTTTGATATCCATGGGGAGTTTGTGGAACAAATCATGCAACACATTCAACGGGATGGTACAGATTCCAAAAGGTAAGATAAATAGATATAAGTTCAAGCTAGCAACAAAAAACTAGAGAAATCACAGGAATCAAAAAAGCTGAGAGCTGAAAAGAGAAATATAGCATTTCTGAATTACTCTGATTAAAAGGCAAACTAGTTCTTTGCTTCCATATGGAAAGCAATCACAGTACTGGACTTCGCAGCACTGAACAATGAACTTCTTAGATACAAGGAGGTAAATGAATCCAGTTGAGGGGAGAGAAACATTCAGATAAAACAAGTGCAGATCCTGAATGTCTGACCACCATTTTCAAAAGTGTGTCTTCCACATACAGTGGTACAAGCATAACTCTTATGCTCTGCAGTCTGATAGTTTGCCCTTCTCCAGAAGTCAAATCAAACCTTCCCATCCCTTTTCAAATCAAACCTTCCCATCCCTTTTCAGTTTTTTAATTTTTTTCTTCTTTATGTGTTTTAGGGTAAGTTAATTAAAATTTTACCACAAAAGCAACTTACGTTCATTATATATATAAAAAAAAAAACACAAAAGTTAGCAAAAAGGAAAAATAAACTAAAATAAAAAACTTAAAAGCATCACTTAATACCACTCAGCACATATATATCCAGATATTAGGTCGTCAGGAAAGACATGACATATTTTTCTATGCAAATATCCTTTATGACTTTCATGACAAACCAGTATTTTTCTGTAAGTAATATACAAACAGAGTGATAGTATAAAAAATTTTTTTGAAGAAGTTTAAGGGTAGCAATCTGGAAGCAATGAAGCTATATTTATCACTTCACATTAAGATTGATAAAAGTATTGGGGCCAGCAGGTGGCATGGTAGTTAAGAGCGCTGGATTTCCACATAGTTGACTGTGGTTTGAGTCCTAGACCTAGTGGCTTGCTTTCTCAATCTCTCTCTCAGTCTCTCTCTCTCTCTCTCTCTCATTCTGTCCCCCTCTGGTCAAACTAAAATCAATAAATAAAATAAAGTTAAAATAATTCTTTAAAAAAATTGATAAAAGTATTAATTGTTTATATTGACATGGTGTTTATTAACTGTTTATATTGACATGGTGTTGATCAAGAAGGTGGGAAAAGTAGCCTCCTCACTAGCTCCCCTTAGCACTGCTACTGAATATATGAAAAACACTTCAAACTAAATTAATATTTTACATACTGTTTAATTCTTGATGGTTTCTGTCATAAGGCCTGCATGCTCTCCAGAGACAGAGAGAGAAGGTGAGAGATCACTCGGCAGGGCAAATGGCCACACTGCAATCCCTTCTCTTTCATTCTCCTCTTAGGATTTTGGGTATGCATTCACATGCACCCAACATGATTATCAAGCCGCTGGGTCTGGAACTTGAACTGCAGTCAGGGGAGTCCAACATCTTAGCCAGCATGCCACCTGCTGGTCCCAGCAATGTATTGTTACTTTAAAAAATTACTGTACAGTGACTTTAAGGGAATAATGTGCTTTTAAAATATATACCACATTCCAGGTATTCCATTGGAGGAATTCTTTGGTTCTTTACTTCTAACCTACATTGAACCAAATTTACAGGATTGCTTTACAAACTTGTAAATCTACTGTAGGACACCTGGTAGATTTACGAAGTAGTTTTTTAAAGGTGTTTTGTTTTGTTTTGGTTTTGTTTTGTTTTGTTTTTATTTCCCTGAGAGAGGGCACATGCACTCACTGAAGGGACAGAGACAGAGAGACAGGAAGTGAGAAATCAGCCCACAGAGGTCATGGTCATACCATAATCCTTTCTCCTCCATTCTCTTTTTGGGATTTTGGGCATGCATGCACATGTACCCAGCATGAATTTCAAGCTGCTGGGTTTGGGACTTGAACTGTGGTCAAATACATGGGAGTCCAGCAATGTAACCATTACGCCATCTGCTGGTCCCTCTTTAAAGGTTTATAAATTATGTAATTCATTTACTCAATATATCATATAAATATTTTTAAATTGGCAACAATGGTTTCAAATTCCATTTTGATTGGAAAAATACCCCAGTTTGCTTGGGTACAATTATAAATTGTGTTTGCAAACAACCCATGATAAGTACATTTCAATTACTGTTGATCTAATTAGAAAATTGTTCTTATAATAATAATATGCCTTGGGACCAGCAGATGGCGTAATGGCTACGTTGCTGGACTCCCATGTAGTTAGCTGTGGGTCGCGTCCCTAGTTAGCTGTGGTTCGAGTCCCAGACCTGGTAGCTTAAACTCACACCGGGTGTGTGTGCGTGCATGCCCAAGATCCCAAGAGGAGAATGGAGGAGAAGGGACTGTGGCATGGAGACCCCCCTGGGGGTGATTTCTCACTTTCTGTCTCTCTGTCTCTCTCTTTCTGGTGAGCACACATGCCTGATAGCAAAAATCTCTCTTAAAACAAACAAAAAAATAATATGCCTCAGTAAAATTTACATTTCTACTCTCACCACAAAATGAGTGTTTTTATCTTAAATGAAATTTTAAGCTGAGTTAATGATGTCTGATGTTTAACCACTGAGATAATGAACTTCCAAATGCTTTATCTCAAGCCTGTTTATAAAATTAAAAAATTTAAGCCATTTTGGAATTAAGTAATTTTCTATTAATATTTGAAGCATCCTATTACACCAATATTAATTGATATAGCTTGATTACAAATTCCTTCTACTAATGGAGCCTTCTCAATAACAGCTCTGCTTCACTTTGTTTTTACGAATGCACAAGAAAACTGGAATAAAAATTGTGCTAAGCTGGTTTAAAAAAGTTAGTGTTTTATATCAATAAGAAGTCAAGTCCACAGCAAAATTTTTTTTTATTTCGATGTATTTATTTGCATTCATTTACTGTAATTACAGCATACAAAATGAGATTTTTGATCCAGAGTACACTGTATATTGTCTCAATCAAGCACATCAACAAAACATGCTATTGTCAGCAAATGATCTTCCATTTCTTGTTTTCTGTATGTTTTGCTTGTTTCCCCCCATCCTTGGTTCCCTATCTCTTACCCTCTGCCACCTCCCACTCTCCTCCCACACTGTCTCTGGTATCTATGTTTGCTTTCTATACCGTTTCCCCCCCACATTTTATTGAATCACCAGAGACCCTAATCAATCCAAATACCCTCATAGCAAACACAGGTGACACACACATTTCCATGAACACAAGTCTAACTTTACACATCCTATAAAGTAGCACCTAGCTGGGGCTACATATCCTACTGCAGTCATTGAATAGATATATTTTTTTTCCTGCCACCTCTAGTGTCCAAAATTGTCCTCCATTCCCTTCCCACCCACATTGCATTGATCACACAATTTCCTACATAACCTGACTACTTTCAAAGGTGAGTTCCCTCGTTACTACTAAGAAAACCAGTTTTAACTTAAATCAAAGAACCGCCAAGGAACTTTGCTTAAAGCCCGGAAACAGGTTAGGATTCTGTTCAAATGGTAGGTGCATGAACCTATCAGTCTCATATACTTTTATCTTCTGTTCTGGTTCAATTTTCCTGATTAAATTCTGGGATATAGTATTCAACTCCAGACTTGTCCCTATGATTAAGTTAGCTACTTTCTCAGTTTTTGGACTCTTATTTCCATGTATCTGCGTTTAGTTTTCCTGATACAGCACATCCTTGAGAACTTCTTGGAGGTCTGGTCTGGTGCTGGTAAATTCTTTCAGGTTTTGTTTATCTGAGAATGTTCTTGTCTTTTCTTCCCACCTGAAAGATAATCTTGCCGGATACAGTATTCTTGGCTGAAACTGCTTCTCTCTTAACACTTGGAATATATTTTCCCATTCTCTCCTCGCTTTTATTGTTTCTGATGAGAGATCTGCTGTTAGCCTGATGGGATGTCCTTTGTAGGTAACTTGCTGTTTTTCTCTTGCTAATCTTAGTATCTTGTCTTTGTCTGCAGTTTTGGTCAACCTGGCTATAATGTGTCTTGGAGAAGATCTTCTAGGGTTGATTCTATTTGGGGTCCTTTGTATTTCCTGGGACTGGATCTTCGAATGCCTCTCTAGGTTT